AACGAAAATTAGACATGAGGTTAAATGGGACACAAAGGTTCATTTGCAAGCATAGTATTAAAAAAATGACATTGCATGGGCCCTTTAAAGGCGGGGAGAGAAGAATTCCACTGTCTGGGAAAAAATAAAGAATTACCGTGGTAGCTCTGACGGGGCAGACAAATTGAAGAATAAAAACACAAGCTGGGTAGTTATTCTGTTAATGCCGTGACGACGGTGACCCGTCGAATTTTTGCACCGCAGGACACGGCCGAGGTCAATTCTTTGATTTCTGGGTGAGGAGAAAGATGACGAAGAAGAAGAAGAAAACAACAAACTAGAAGTCGGGGTTAGGATGCTGGATCGTATAACGATATACTTCATCTCATTTTGATTGCACGAAGGCAAGGGAATTTGTGGCAGGTGGTGGCATGGCATAGGATGCATTAATGTGGTCACGTCGAAATCTCCGGGGGAAATTGTAACTGCTGGTTTTATGGCGCTCTAAAGGTGCATTGGTACGATTATGTTTTGGCCTTGCGCTCCCGTTTATACGAAAGAGTTACTTTGACGTGTCTTGATGCATTACATCATGTACTTTGCTGTACGGGTCAGGCATTGTGACATTCAGTATAAAAAAATCCTTGATTATGTCGTGGTTTATAATTACCTATAAAAATATTGAAAACTTTGTAACGAAGGTATATTTTTTTTTATATCGCCGAATTTTGTTCATTGTGAGAGGCGATACCACTTGATCCTGTTGCAAACTATGGGTGGGCGAGGACATCCGGGATTTTTTTTTTACATTTGCTTATCTAGCTCCCAGACCTATGTTCTTGAAACTCAGTGGTTTCTTGAATCTGGAGTGCTGAATGGTGACACATAGCAACCGATGAAAACTGGTGTGCAAATGAATAGATGTTTTCATGGGATGACGTCAGCCATTCCCACCTATATATATATACATTGCAGAAATAAAACTCTGGATTAAGCATCATGTATAGTGGTTATATGCGTAACAAAGAATAGCTTTGAGTACAAAAACACTCGCCACCTTTAAACCGCCCCCATCAAAACCAAACCCACAGACTATTTTTTCCGTTCCGTGCGGTCAAAACAGCTGCTATAAGAAACCCACAGTGTCCGACGGATTTCAAGCTAATCGACAAACCAGTGCAGGCCCACAAAAAAAGACACGCTAGACCGCCACTTCCCTTTTGGAACCCAAAGTTTTAGAAATAGGGTGACACGAGGGTCGGCACCTTGTAGAGCTGTCAGTGAGCGGAAGCGATCGGTGTACAATACCTTCTATTATAGCGGCTGTTATTGCACATGAACCGTGTATTATGTGCATGACATTCATTTTAGTTGGCAACAGTAACCTTTCCCACTTTATGTCTGGAATGTGACAACCTATTTTTGTTATTAAGGGGGTATCCGGGGTGCCCTTTCATGACTCGTAGATCATACCTATAGGTGTCAAATTTGAATTGGATTAACCAGTAATTTTAGAGGTCGCGCCATTTTGCAAAAAATGATTTACGGGTGACGGTTGATCGGAACCAGCCGGGGAATGATTCCATTGTCCCGATTGAACATTCAGTGCGAGATGCCCCACTGAGGTAGGCATACTTGCACGAAACTAAACTACTTTGCAAGATCAAGTTTTTGTTTCTAGTTCGTAGAAACTCTCAGATTTGGAAATCACTACATGCCGATGGAAAGACAATAATTGCAAATTATGATATAATAAATACCCACGCGTTGCCTCAGCCACTCATAATGGAACATTCAATGTATGTTCTGTTGCAATTTCATCGATATCAACAATGTGGACTCTCCTGAGACAAGTGTAGGCGTATAGAGAGAGAGGGCAGTTCTCAATGTCACATCAAAACTATAATTGATTGCTGTCACGTGCAAATATTTTTGTTTGTAATCAAATGTTGGGTTTCCCGCCCCAATCTATTCTGATGATTAGACCATGGAGCTATAAACACATGGCTCCATGATTAGACGTTCGCGTTTGCAGAGCGAGCCACGGTCGAACGTCTGACATAGCCTAACAACCATGGGCGTCGCGAGGGGGGGGGGGGGGCAAGGGGGGCACTTGCCCCCCCCCCCCCGGAAAAGCAACAAAAAAAAGAAGAAGAAGAAGAAGAAGAAGAAGAAAAGAGAAAAAAAAAGACAAGAAAAAGAGGCGCGAAGACAAAGTGGTGTACATTTAATGAGTTGGGGGGGGGGGCAAAATGTCCCTTCCCCCCTCTCAAACTGATAAATCGAGAATATGTTGAGAAATGCAAGCATTTTTGGCAAAACAATTTTTTTGCCCCCCTCTAGAAAAAATCCTGGCGACGCCCATGCTAATAACATGCAAATTGTGTGAGACCCCGCGCGCCAGCCAATCAGAGTCGACTTAAGAAACTGTGACGTCATTTCGATCAGAAATGTGGACTAAGCTGTTGAATTTGGATGCCATGTTTTTGTAATACACCAACGGGTTTAGCGAAGACCCGATAAAAGGCGCCCCCTGAGTGACTGCTCAGAATCTCGAGGTCAAGGCGCAGTCTTGTTTTGCATAATTAATCACCGAATCTGCTCGCACGTCATATACCCTTGCTGTTCAAGGGGATATTCCATAGGCTACACCATGTACATTGAAAAACTGACCTTTTCAAGAAAAGTATAATAAGTAATTCGAAAGTTGGAGTTTGTGCTAGGAATGATGGGTAGCAAAACTTCAATCTTGCAACGACATTGGAAAAAGTAGATGCTTGCAATTAAGACAGTGTTGCAATCCCAGCCATTCCTGTTTGTTTTAAGTTTCGAAATCACAATGATTTTATCAACGGAAACAACTGTTGTTTAGTAAGCCCCAACAACTCCTTTGTTTTAATGACAGAGCATTTAACTGCAGACCGAACAAAATGACTCATGTGTAATTATCAAACCAACTTATTACAGGAAATCCAGTTCTTTCAATGCACATACATGGACGTGTACAAGTTAATTGAAAAACCGCTATGAAACGGCTGTTCTCTGCTGTCGCTTGGGGCGTTAGCCTTTATTATTTTTTGGTCGGTGTCTCTAATGAGATAAACCAGTATTTTGGGTAAACACAATTATGACTGGCGGATATATAGACTGAAATAGCCGCAGGCTTCAGACGATGGCTTACCCAGTGTACGCAAGTGCTTTTTGAACCCGAGTTGATTAGTTTACGTTTGAGGTTTTGTGATTAGGCTAATTATGTTTTTATGGAATTGAACAAAGACAGAGATTATTGGAATTGAAATGCAGTTTTTATATCAAATTTGCTCCACTGATGTGACGGAGTTTGCAGAAATTGTGGGTATATAAACCTGAAATTGTCTTTAAAAAATCGGTTATTCTCAGAAAAACTGACCTGACTCGACGTTTTGGCCATTATGCCCAGACCGTCATCAGAAGAACTCAGAAGAACCTCGAGTTAAGATCTCTGATTTTTCTCAGGACCGTTTCTATTTTAAACACAGTCACTACTCCATTATATAGACGTCGCTTTGGCTGCACTCTTCACTAACCAGATTACATAAGCAAGCTTCAATTTTCGTGGTAATGGCAAGCAGTGGCAGAACACTCACGGTGCTCAAAATGTGATTGACGTATATTGTATTCACAGACCTTCAAGTAGAAAAAATTGTCACGCAACATTTTCTCTCCAACAACATTATGAGAAGAAATCGATAGGCCTTGGTATGATATCTGCGTGGCGTTGAACTGTGCCCGGAAATGCAATAATGCTTCATCGGACTTTTAACAATTCCCCTTTAGAATCGCTTGTGAAGAAATGTCATTGATGTGACGTCCTTCCATCCGTATGATAAGTTGATTTGTTATTCTTGTGTCAAGATCTTAATGGGGTTTCTCCTGGCACCTGTAGTCATGTTATTTTCAATAACATGATTACAGTGAGATATGTATGGTATCCCCAGAACATTTACCGTAGCAATGCATTATCTATAAAACTGATCAACAGAGTTTTGGGCCTTTTATATAATGAACATTTTGCGTGACAAACTTGAGCTAACCGTGGATTGCTGTACCGTATATTCTGGGGACACAGTTTGGTCCGAAGCAGTTGGTAGTCTTCCTCGTAAAGTCATGATTGAAAAGTTGTTCAAAACTACAATAATGATGTAGATATACTGCAGAGTTTTCCCCACAGTTTTGCGTAGTCCACAGTTACACAAGGTAGCAATGTAATTGTAAGCCCTTTAGGATAACGAATGTGATGTGACAAAACATTGCCAAGGTTGTGCAGCAGAAAAGATCAATCGTGACAACATTGAAAAGCACAGCGTGGAATCGTGGCATTGAAGCCACGGCAAGGCCGCTTTGCTCATGCTTCGATGAAAGAATATGAAATTAATTTCTGGGCTGCGGATAAAAAAGAAAACCACACATAAACAATATGATAAAGATTCGTGGAAACAACAATAGAAATTACGTGTGGGCCCTATTGTGATGGAATCTGATACCCCATCGGTATCGTAAATGCCACAGCGTGACTTTTATCGCAGTTGCTGGGTTATCAAAACCAGTTCCTTAGCCTTCGTGGGAAACCAAATAAAACCAACATCCTGTGTTTCACCTTGGGGAGTATTGCATTGCTTTAATGCTTCGTGTGCTTCATGCATCCTTGATAATAATAGGTAATGCATTGTTGGGAGTTTATTTATGAACCTGATTGTATTTAATTTTGAAAAAAACTCAACTGCATCGTTGTTAAAGATTTTTGATCTGATGTTAGATCATCAAGTTTGTCGGTGATCATTTTTTCCCCTTCACAATTTCCCCAAGCTGTGAAGGTAAATTGAGTGAACAACAATCACAATGTAAGCAAAAGATGACATTATCAATTGTACATTAAGCTTATAGTTTTTAATTATGTTTGTTAAGAGCCCACTGGATGTTTCTACCATTATTCTGGTAATGGCGTATTGTAATGAATGATAATACTTGATTGTTTTATACAGCGATTTGTCAAGACAAGTGCGTACATGGTACATGCGTGGGACCCAACCGGTGTAAATGCGACAGTGGCTTCACTGGAACCTCATGCGAAAGAGGTGAGTTCAAAGAAAAACGTTAACATTGTACTTGAAGACCATATTAGACCCATTTACGGATAGCCTGCAGACCGGAAATGTGCAGTGAAGGTATATGGTGCATTGTGGGAGTTTTGCGCTGAACGAAATCCCTATTCGAGAATGTAAGCTGTCCCACAATGCCTTGCAATATCACTGCACACATCTGGAGCCAATTTCACGGCGCTGCTAAGCACACAAATTTGCTTAGCTCAAAAAAGTCTGGCTTATAAAAGCAGGATACCAGCCAAAACTCCATGTGATGTATATTGCTTGTGATTAGTATTCAGATGTTGCGAGCTATAGGCCGCTAAAAATCACGTGGAGTTTTAGCCAGGCTTTTTTGTGCTAAGCAATTATTTTTTGCTTAGCAGCGCCGTGAAATTGGGCCCTATCCGTCAAAGGCTGTACCATTTGTATATTTCCATGACTGTATATAGAAACTGTTTGGTTAAGTTTCATGTCTCACCAAATGGACCGAGGCCGGACAGATGATCTGTCCTTGGGTGAGATGGGAGTGGTAGACAACCGCTGGTTTCAAGACTAATCTCGCACCGGTGCTCACTGCCTGCTGGAGCTTTTACAGGATGTGTAAATGTTTCTCCATTTTTATTCCATGTTATGTTTGGGGCCCTGGATGAACATTGTACATCTGCCTCCCAGGAAAATGCATACCACATGGGGGATGTCGTAGTCAGTCAGACTAAGTCTCATTTGCCAAGGACACCTTGAACTCTGGCCCTGCTATAATGGAAGCCGAATGTTCCATGTTATCCATTGACCTTAGCTAACATAAACCTGCATAAACATGACCTTAGCTGACAGAAACCTGCATGCATGCATAGAGAAAAATTTCGTCTTTTTTTAGTTAAATTGAATTAGAGTGTCACGCTACTAGCTGGAAATATGAACAATCCCCCCAAAAATATTATATTTGAAAAAAAAATGAATGTCTGTTGCCAGTTTTGCCATGCTATAGCTAATATAATGTTGTCATACAAATTATTGCTTGACTGATGAGGTTTTAGTTTTATGTGGCGGGCAGCCGAAATTTGAAGCATCGAATCGATTTGTAATACGCCTTCACAATTTGCAAGGAATTTGGTGGAATGATCGAGTTTCAAAAGGCTCATCAAAAACCAAATGAGCAGAGAACCGAACGTCGAAATTCGATTTTATGCAATCTGCCTTAATAAAATAAAAATTAACAAATTTCCATGAAATCCGATTGGAATGACGCACCCTAACTTATTCATAAGAAAATTTCGTTTTTGTATACGTCAGTACCGAAATGGCTACATCAATTGGCCAGTGACACGCACAGATTAATTAGAGATTGTATCTGTTTGACGGGGGGGGGGGGGGATTGGCCAGACATCCTGACTAGCATCATGTGCAAGGAGGATAAGATTATCTCACCCCCGGTCACTGACTTAGGGCTCTCCACTGACGATGGGGAAGATAGCTGCACTTCTTGCTTGGGCTGAAAAGATAATATCTTAGGTACTCGCGCAGATCGAATAAAGAGAGCATAGCGCATGCGTACCAGTATGATCGTTATTATTCTCGCGAGACTTGTTGCGGATGCAGTGCACAGACAGTAGATGGCGATGTTTAGTTAGTCTACTCACCAGACTCGGTGAAAGACACAAACCGCGCGCACTGGTTCCGCGCGCGCGTATGGCGCGCGCAAGTCGCACGCGACCAATTTGCATCTGAATGTGCACACACCCCGTAAAAGCGTCTGCTCGTGGGAGGAACGCACATGAGCGTGGACGTACGGCGGCAATGGCGCTCAGGTGTCCTTCAATATCGGGGCCCTTTGTCGTTTTCACTGTTGAGAGGGCTCTTGTGCACGGAGTCCATAGCATTTTTGCCTTAGCACTTTCCAATTCTGCATCCAACATAGTGTTAGTTTGCACATGCATTTCTATGCGCAGTCGAATGTTTTGACCGCTTGCGATAGCTCGAGGCAAAAGTTTAGGTAGGCGTACTTATTTTCCTCCGCAAAGGTTCTTTCTGGTGAAGTTCTGGGCCATTATACCACTACCACACCGTCATGTACGAACGGGAAGGTCACGGTGTTTTTCAGACATCCACGCATGGCTTCGATCACTAACAGCCGCAATTTATGTGCTGAATTTATGGGCTTGTTGGCGGGTTTATGTTTTCTCTGAATTATGTCTGTGACCCGCGACCTGAAAGGTTATTGACCCCATTTTCCCGCGCTTATAGGTGAAATAGTTCGTGAGTGTTACGCCTTTGAATGTCGGGAAAGTATACGTGTGCGTAGACTTTATTTTTAAAAAAATGGCCTACGGTTTTGGAAAATGGTTAACGGGAAATCGGAAATCTTGGAATTGATTATTTACTGCTTTGGCTAATTTGTGGAATTGCAAGTCATCGGCACAAGTTGAACAATGGTATTTTGTTAAAGGTCGTTCACCACTGATTGTCCATCTTGGATAACATATTGCATAAATTTAATGGTGAGAACTCATATCGTCTCTCAATGGGGTTTTGTGCTGATAGAAAACAAGATGGCGACGTCCATGTAACGGTTTATATTCCCGTTTGTTGAACCCAAATTGCTGACCTCGCCTCCCTGCCATTTAACGGCGTGCACGGCGCGAACTTGCGATATGAGGCTGGAGATCGAGGCCGTCTTCCTCCCGTCTTGAAAGACGTGAACTTTAAACAGTCCTCATCAAAATACCGGGCAGACTGTGCTCAAGCAGTTGACAGATGTCGTCAGGATTTGCTTATTTTCGGATCGTCGGTCGTGGGTGTTTTGTGAACCTTGGAGTTCCTGTGAGGAGATATTGGACTTCCGCTTCAGATGTTGTTTCTACAGTCTTCTGATAATCCCTTTTCGGATATGTTTGGATAAACTTTAGTAAAATTTAAATAGCAGCTTGATCCAACTTAACCCGCAATTTAAATGTCTTCTCTACATCAACACCAAGAACACAAACAATACTTGAGCAACTGCGTACAACTGATAAGACGTTGGGATGACCTAAGAGCTCAGCTCACAAGGTTCGTATTGACAAGGTAATGCCTTGAGGAAAAAAGTTGGACCTCGACTTTAAATTTTTTTTCGAAATGTCATTTGTGATAGCATCAATGAAACGAGGGACGTGATTATTGTTCTGGACAATGTGACATGTATCTACAAGCGAAGGTTAATACAATGAAAGTTTAGATACTCCCCCTCCCCCACATTTTCTTGTCAGCTTCTTCTAGGTTTGTTCTTCAAGTTCGACCGATGGTTTCGTAATTTTGCTGGTAACTCCCGCATGTGTTTTTACGATCATGTATAGCCGAAAACTAAAACTCACTTATTGACTTTTTCTAATGGAATAGTGAATTGTAACAGTTGATTTTTCCTTTCACTCGTTCCTTTAACTGGACAGATTTGGAATAAATGACGATAGAGTTTTGACGCCAAAGTCAAACACGGACTTCTTTGTCGCCTCAAACCAGAGGTGACGACTGAACCTCAAATTGGAGATCTGCGTCGCCTCGGTCTTTCAGCAGGACCCAACTAATCGTGGCCATTGAGCGATTCCCCTGCCTTCATTCGTGCGGGAAGAAACGGCCCGGCATTCCTTCCCCCAACAGCTCCCTGTAGACGAGTCCTGGAAATCACATTTCATGCTCGATGAAAACATCAGCAGCTAAAACAATAATCCCCCCTCCAATATGCCTCGTTTCACGGCACAGATTGTTCTGCTTGGACTTGGACGTCGGGACGAGGTGTGTTCACGAGTCGAGGTGTTAAAAAAACCCATGCGGCTAATGGAATTCAACTTAAATCTACAATTGAAGTGTACGGGACGTTTCGTGTTAGTGTAAGGTTGTGATAATTTCTTTTTAGTGCGTCACTAGGTAAAGTGGGAAAGTGATCACTTTGGTGAAAACTGGCTTAGGCCTATGTTGGATTTAACAAACTGGTTTTTAATTTGATGGAAGTGTCTCGACTATCTCATCCTTGTCCTCCACACATTATGATGGGTATACTTCTATATTACCGAGTACTGTATCAATTCTGCCGAAGACGAACAGAACACTCTGCTCGAAACATCGAACATCTAAATGTTTTGCTTCAACTGGAACTTGTAGCCTAATCTTTCAAAACACTGTGCAATGTGTACTGCATTAACATCTTAGTTTAATTTCCTGAGCCCCCCCCCCCATGGAAATAGGTCATGCCTCGTGGAACAACACGGATGTTTTACACGAAAGGGTGAAAGTGTTTAAAAATATATACATTGGGCAACATGCCGAAGGACGCTTAAAGTTTGCATGGCCTGCAGGGAAGGAATTTAACGGTTAATGTTTCTCTTCCTGTTTCGATATTTCTGTCTCTGCGTCAGAGAAAGGCAACTTCCGAATCTGGGCTATACTGAAGTCAGGTGCACTCAACGAATAGACCTCTCCAAGGCTAGTAATAAGTGAGCGTGCACAATCAAAGGGACTTAAGACGTAGATGGAGATCTTGTTGAGTCTTGCACGCAATGAGAGACGTTTGGGCTGCTTTGGTGGTCGCAAACACACCAGTCATTTGCAAGTATTTGCGTCATGATTAACCTTATGTGCGCATGTTTAAAATGACGCACCCAGTAGAAAGGACATGTGTGTTTGCTGCCACCAAGAGCTTCAAAAGTCTCCTATTGCGCATGTGCAAGCTGTTACCTGGGGTACCGCATCACGTGATGTCTCTTGAGGGATACCATAGGCAATTTTTAAAAGTCCCGCATGCACGCTATTTTCAGGTCTTGGCTTTTAGTTAATTATCTATATTCAAGCGTGAGCTAGTGGCCATTTTCAAACTTCGGTCCGGGTGTGGCTGCTTTGATTGGCCGAGGCTTTTAAGCCATTTCGAAGCGACGAATTGGTCAACTGGAGTCAACCGTTCTGGATGTGGCTTTGAGGTTTCGCCGCCAATTGGTTATGGGACCAACATTGAGTCGCAGCCT